TTACCTCAACTTGAGACCAACTCAAGTTGCAACCAGAGTCACGGAACGGATTAAGTTCGTAACTAGAGGTACCACTGTATAAGAAAGCAGATTTCAACTGGACATCAGAAACAATTTTCTAATGTTAACAACTGTTTGCTAAAAGAAATACTTGCCTCAGAAGATAATGGACTCTCCTTCACTGAAGGTATTTAAATAGAGGCTACGTGGCCATTTGTTGAGAGTGCTTAGTAGCAGTCAAATGGTTGGACCAAACGATTTTCAAGGTCCCTTCCAACCCTTGCATTCTATGATTCTATGATTGTATTGGCTATGCTGACTGGGGATTAATCCAATACCTTGCTAGGGGACTAGTTAGGAGTCCCAAATAAGCATCTTTAATAGCATGCAAACTCCTTTGTGTTAATACTACCTTAGAAGTCTAATATACATAAGTAGTAGAGTAGGCTGCATTACATTTTTACTGTACTTATATTCCAGTAATTTTTAAGAAATTCAGAAGTCTACTCACTTGACACTGAATATTTTATTTTATTTTAGGTATTTTGACCTTGCAATTTAAGCTAGTTATCTGAAATATAAAACTCAAAGAGGTGGTTGAATTTCACTTGCATTTCCTCAGTCTTCTTCTGCTTGGATACTGGTAACTGAGCAAGCATTCTTGCACGTTTGGATGACAAACCACCAGTTCTTGTGCTGCATGCAACCTTCAGAGCTAATTTCACAAGGCCTTGAAGATGTGGGTTTTGTCACCAGACTTGGGGATCTGGATGCGTGGCAAAGCCCATGCAGTGGTTGGGTTAATTTGCTGTTGGTGGGTTTTTGTTTTTTGTTTTCTAACCTCAGCTGCTGATAGTATTTATGCAGTTTTTTATATTGTTTGTTTCTCTGTAGTTTTTAATTGTTGTTAGCTGCCCAGAGTCATGAATTTATATGGGCAACCATATAAATGGAAATAATAATAAACAAGTAAATAATTTCACGCCAAACTTTGGCTAATACTAAAAACATTGTGAAACAATAATCTGTCCCTACCCTGTAGGAAAAAAAAAGAGAGGTGTTGAAAAGAGAAAAGGCATCCCCATTCATTCTGGGGTTCAGAACAGTCCTGGCATGTATCCCCAGCAGAATCTGGGAGGAAAAAAAGTTGCCCATTTCTGTCCTACAGAATGACTCAGTTTTGCTTCCCGTCTCCACACCTTTTGAATTATAATCTCATCTTCTGGTCAGCACACTGAAGGGTTGCTGAAGAATAGGAATTTAAACCAACAACCATTCACCTGAAGTGCACCTACTGCATTATTCCTGCTTTCAGTATTACACAATGTTACTGAGAGCATGTCTGTAAAAGAGCATTCGCATAAGCTTTATCAGACCATTACACCAGCATTGCAGAAAAAGCGACATTAAGATTCAGGATACCTAAGGGAATATTTAGTTGTTTGTTTGTTTTATAGGGCTGATAGGCCACTCTAATCAAAACCCTCTGAGGATAGGAGACTGTCTCAACTGCCTATTCCTTTCTATCTGCAGTGAATCTTGAGACTGTTCCAAGTATGAGGAAAAATCATGTGGCATAAACTCTCTGAGACTGTACCAATTTGGAAGCAAATGAGAGTTTATGTGGTTTACAAAAATAACTCAATTTCCCTCAGGTGAAAAAGAAATACATCCACTTTTTCCTCTTTTTTAATATGGTAATATTCCGTCTACCAATGTTTTACATGCAGGGCAAAATTCCAGTAATTCTCCCCACCCAGCTTTTAAAAAAGGTACAGTCATCATATGATTTGGTGTTTTTGCATGAGTGCACAGGATTTTTCAAGCACCTAAAGAAGATTAGACAATATGTAAAAGCCAATCTGTGAATAATAAAAAGCAGCTGAATTGTTTCCAACTTTATGGGTTTTCCCCAGAAAAAGGTAATTCCTTATTTGCCTCTTCCATGCTCTGGCTTTAAGCTACCCATCCATTGTTTGGGCATTACCAAGTGCTACGGAGCTATTCTCAAAGGAAGGGAATGAGAAAGGTGGAAATTAAGCTTGACAGATTTCAAATAAAGCTTTGTTCTGGAACCAAATGATTGAAGTTAGAGTATGGAACCTTGTGTCAGGTTGTTTCAAACTTAGAAATAAGAAATCAGATCAAACTTATTTAGAAATCCCAAAGGCCAAGAGGCTTTAATTAGCTGTTTTTGCCTTCTGTCAGTGTTCATACTCTGCATCCTGAGTTCATTATATATTTAAAGATCAATGTTGAGGCCTTAAATATTCACTTACTTGCTCACTGTCAATAGAAATTCACAGCATCGTCCTTCCAGTACTGGACCAGTATATTAGCAAAAGTACAGTAAAGTGCACTAATTTTTTTAAAGCTTTCCTACAGAATTTTCTTTAACGTACATTTACAGCAGAAAATCACAGCCAGTACCACCCATGTTTCTAATTATCCTAATGCACTTGGGATAATTGCTGCCTGAAAAGGTGTCATAATTTCAAAAGAGTAAAAAACGAATGGTATTAGAGATGATCTTGGATTCTAGCACATGACATAACTTTATACTGGGCAAAGAGCCACTTGACAACAACCTTACCAAGTTGCATATGGGATGTGTGTACAACAGTCTCTGCCTTAAAACTAAACTTGGAGATGTCAGCAGAAGGGCACACACACCCCAGCCTGCTACAGCAACTCCTGCTCGTCATCTTCTGATCCAGAAGGTCCTTGTCGCACCTCCTCATACCATTTGTTAGTAAGGCTTTTCATCTGTATGCGCCCATGATGTAAGTCCTACGGTAAAGGGAAATTGCAGCCCCTTTAGAAAGACCGAATTGCACTTCTTTATCTGCCTGCATATAAGGCAGTACAACTTCAATTCAGTACATACAAAATTATGTAGATCTGAAATGCTAGGTTTAAATGAAGAGAAAAAAATACTGCAAGACAGTGTTAACACTGACAGATTAGGGAGAGTTCCCCTGAAAAATCTCAGGTCTTTCTCTTTCCATGTATATTTTGAACATGGGAAGCAGCAGATATAGAGAGAAAAATAGGAAGTGCATGTAGGAAAACCCCTCATTTGAAAAATTCAAGTGATAAGACAACTCATTTGGAAGCATGTGGTTCTTCACATTACTTACTTGGTTTCCTAGAATGCATGAATATGTTTTGTCTTTTTGTTACAGCAATGTTATTTACATAAATTTCCTGAAAAACAGCTCAAAGGGGTACGCACAAAGCACGTTTTGCTCCATACACAGACCATACGCAGACTAAACATACTGTGACTCAGAAGTTCAGCTAGACTGTTCCAGGTAGGTCATGATGCAACTGAAACGAAACATTTAGACTAATCCAGGTTCCAGCTGAGACAAATCGAGAGAAGTCACAATGGACAAGCAAGGCAAGGCTGATGTACCTCTCTCCCCTCCTTCATATCGCCTGTGCATCAACCTGGCCAATCAATCTTCCCAGTCCTGCACCCACCCCTCTTAGTCACCACTATACTTGAATTCAAGCACAGCATACCTGCCCAGTCCAACCTGGCCCACCCAGTTTTCCCCACACTTTCCTTCTCCATTGTCACTCCCTGTCCCCATGCAAATCCCTTCCATGCTTCTAACACCCACCCACCTAACATACCTACCCGACTCATCCATCCTACCTCTCTGTCACTGCATACCTTTCTTCCCTGCTGGCACTCCACACCCACCTGCCCAACTTCTCTGCAACCAGCTTTTCCTGCTGTCTCCTATTCCAAGCGATCTTTGTTGGAACTTGCATGCTCTAGGTCTGTGCACAGATGAAATATGCAGTCTAGGCATTGACCACCCAATACTGCCTGATGCATGGAATGTTCTGTACATCTCTAGGGCCTTAAGATACCTAACTCAGACTATAGTGGGCCATGTCTGAAGTACTATTATCTCCTTTAATAAGGCATTGTATGGCCACACACAGTGTTCCAATCATTCCTTTGCACATGCTAGAAAATATATGTGGCATGTACAAGTAACCATTGTGTCCTTTGTAGGAGAAAACTATAGTTAAGTATTTCAACACAATCCAGGATATTAAACTATGGTTACTTATTCTGGTTGGTTTGGAAATCATTCACCTTGGGAATCAATTCCTTGATTCCCATGAGCAAGAAACTTACATCTGCTTGGGTTTACATTGTGCTAAATCTCAGTGTGGTTGTTTTGGTTTACTGTGAATGGGGTGACATCCATGAACAAACCATGGATAGTTTTAGGGCAGTAAACTTTAGGCTATTTTGGGCTTAGATTGCAACTGTGGTTTAGGGTGACATGTGAATAGAGATGCATGTTCTGTTATTCCTGTTGTGTTTTTTGCTCCCTTCTCAAGTCTCCCAATCAATTAAAAGGCACAAAGCAAGAGGAGCTCAAAGGAAGGAAAATAAGCCAGGAATCTGTCAACAGGCTATGATTACTCTGTTTATCTGCAACACTGACTCTGATTTGATTCTGTTTTGTTCAGCAAACTATGCTTGGAAAAAATCATGGCAGAGAATGATGCCTGAACCTAGCCAGTTAAATGAGGCTCCTATAAAGAGACAATCAAAATGTTGGTGCAGGAAGCTTGTCCAGTCTAAAATAACTGGGTTATTTTAATACAAATAGCAGTCATTGCATTCTTGGGCATCAAATTAGGCTGCAAGTCAATCTGCTGTAGGATTTGTTTAGGTAGAACCTACCTCTTGGGTGAGCCGTCTGGTAAAGAAAGGATTCAAATATTTGACATCAAGCCACATAAAGCCTTTGAGATCCTGACGTTTTATATAATGGGCTTCATACTCTTCCTCTGTGAGTTCAGACAAGTGTTCAGATTCAATGGTGTTTCCCTGGGAGAGATGATTATAAGAATAAAAAACAGTTGTTTCTCTGACATTCCTTAGTCCTCCCATTTTATCTTCTGTGTTTATGTGCAATTCAACAAAAGTGTCAATAACTTTATTATAATAATAGAAAAATTAAGAAAATCACTAGAGACAAGCAATATCCAAGAACTGAAGATCATCAAAAGAGAAACTTTGACTTGCATTCAACCATTTCAAGAATGGGCATTCAGGGTGGATTTCTGACTGTCACAGACTTTAAATTTGTGCTGCTTTATGACTTCGGCAGTTCTCACTGCACCAAATGTGATAGAAAAGAAAGCAGCAAAGGACCTGCTAGGAACCGGGATTTCATTAGTCAGGTTATTGTCACAAAAATGGCTTGTCTGTTTTGTGACTTTACCTTCCAGCTGCCTTTTACCTGATCTGAATTCATATCAGTCACCTCAAAACAAAGGGTGGTTGAGAAGAACGCTAGCAGAAAAAGTTCACATTGCAAAATGACCAACTCTGTATATTCTGCAACTGCAATGCAGCACCAAGTAAAAAAGGTGCAACCAAGCACAGAACTTAGCAAGTACATCTTTTCCAAAAAGATTCCAACCTTCTTCTGACAAGCATGTGTAGGTCCTCAGGGATGAGGATTTAAAGATTTAAATGGTCTAGGTGGAATTACATCTGAGAATTCCAGCACAAATACACATTAATATGCAGAAACACTTAAGCATGCCTTATACACATTGACTTGCTTTCATATTATCAGAATAACCCATGATTAACTTAACTGGGATTTATTGAAAGACAACATCTCACTAAGTGTAACAAACCCCTAGTTTTGGAGGGCATTGTAGAGCTCCATAAAACATCTGATCAACTGTTAAGAGGACTGAAGAGATGGAATTCAGCTCTTTGTTTCTCCAATCTCTCCCATACAGCCCCATACAGTATATACAAAGGTAAAACTGGTGAAAAATAAACAACACCTTTATAATTCCATCCAGAGTCATTAAGAAGGTGAATTTAGCCCCTAGATAATCTCTAATTTGTGGCCTAGATTGAGGATATCAGAGGTGCAGCACTGTCCTTGATTGAGCAAAGCAAGAACCAGTCTCCCCAAAGATGCTGCTTTTCATTTGTGCCCCACTTCCTATAAAACTGGAGAGAAGTGCTTAGAGAAGCAAGAAAAAGGAAAAGAAAAAAGGGAAGGAGAGCAAAGAAACCCAAAGACCGCTCTCCAATCATCCTCTCTATAGGGAATATCTGCTAAATGCCAAGATCTTATTGTAAAAGATAATAGGAATCTCATTTAGGTAAGCTGACTCCACTGATTTTATTTACAATTTGGTATGTATGACTATTGCCTTCCCTTGTTTTCCCTACACTCCTTTTTTTCCAATGAACTCCTTTTAGATGGAAAGGTAGATAGATATACAGATAGATATGGTTTGATTAGGGTGGAGATTTAATAGCATGTATGATATTTCAGATGGCTTAGATACGAATGAAATCACATCAGGAGTAAAGGCAGGCAGCTAGTATGGTGACCCTGGGAAGGAGACAAAGAACAAATTAGTTTTATAAGGGGATTTCTCATTAAAACCTTCTCCACATGCAAGACTGCCTTGTGTTTCTAGATTGGCACTAGATTTGTTACATTCTGTGTTTCTGAGCTTTGGGCAAGAAGACTCAAATCACCTTCCTTTCTATTTGCCTAGAGCTGGGCTGAAGGAAGAAATCCTGGGTAGAAGATAAGCACTCCTCAGTGGACAGACTGGACAGTGTTGGGGAGTTCTAATTGGCTGATGGCTGCCCATTATTATTTTTCACTGGGAAACTCTTAGAAAGTGAGGTCTGCCAGGGAGGTTTTTAAATGACTCTCCCCTCCCAGTTTATAACACTAAGCCATAAACTGTGGTCTATAAATTACAATGGATGGTTCACCCAACACTGAAAGCAAACAAGCTATGTAGTCGCTGTACATTGTCTGTGAACTCTGCCACTGAATGCATGCAAGCATAATACTAAATAGCACTACTGATGCTACAGGTATAAGTATGGATGAACCTTAGGTTTGCATGCTGATTCTACTCTCTGCTTCATGTAGCATGACTGCAGGATTAGAAGTTCTTGTTTCTGTTTTCAATTAACTGTCATTATTTATTTGGCCCACCCTAAAATAATGATTAGCATTAGCTATGGATTAGGAATTTAAACTATGCTAATGTACCATAGCTCAAAGGTCTTGGGTTTATCTAGGTTCAAACATCATGAATAGTACTGATATATTTCATATTTCTAACCATCTTCTAATAAACATGCCAAGAAAAATGGAGAAGAGTAACTTGAGGCTCTAGCATATCACACTAAAATGTAGCTTAGGGCAACGTGCAAATTAAGCCATTGTGTGTCTTCAGAGTACAGATACAGAACCAATATATGAACAGCAAGCATTTGGGCTACATAAAACATGGATTTGCATTTAGTTTAAAAGCATTTTCAATACAAAGTAATTTCCCCAGAATGCTAGCCTGCTCTGAAAATCTTGTGTGCTTGGTAAAAAGCAAGACAGTGTCTCAGGTAAGGCTGATTGTTTCACAGAGCTTCTGCTTTGCCAAGATAGGGGCTTTAAATAAGCACAGGCACTCTTCCCAACTTCTGAATATAGATATGCATTTTTTCTTATTTTTGACCTGCTTGCCAGTAATTTACATCTGCAGCTTATCAGTGAAGTACACCCTATCATCCCTTTGAGAGACGTGTGACTCACCATCTGTGTGTTATCATCATCCACTTAGATGTGACTCAGTCCAACTGGTGGGATTGTATTTGAATTTCAATGGAAATGTTATTTCACTTCAAGGTAGCTGACTAATAATTACACTACACTACATTCACAACTTGCCTGCTGAAACAGGACTGTGTTAGAAGAAAGAGAAGCTCCATATGTAATAATATTCAGAAGACTCCCAAAGATCTGTCCCCCTTGCCTCTTTTCTGCCTTAATTACAGAAAGCAGGCTTACCAAACTGGGGTGTTCCAGATGTACCATGACTACAATCAGAATTCCCAGCCAATAGGAAGAGTTCTGGTAGTATAGTCCCTAACAAATTTAGAGGATGCCAAATTAGGGAAAGCAAATATACAGGAATGGAAAAAGGCAAAGAGGTTTATGAAAGACTCACAAGTAAAAGAATCTATCTCACTTAAACAAGGAATACAGAAAGCTCACCATTTTCTCTGTCTTGCTGAGATTGATATCCTTCTTGTTCTTCCGCCGGGCCTTAGAGTCTTCAATATCAATCAGCCTGATTAAAGGCATTGTTCCTCCACCCAGCAATAAAATTGTGAACAACACAATGATGATTGTCGTGGTGCCAATCAACTGCCGCTTCTCAATTGGTTCCAGGCCCAAGTGGAGGCTCAAGGCATAAGGAATTGCCCCACGTAAGCCTAATTAATGGGGAGAAACACAGGGAAGCATATAAGCATTCCTCAGTCCCTCTATGAATAATTTTCTATCAAAGCTATCACAATGATTGTTTCTTTTGCTGTTTCAAGATTAAGGGACGAGCATCCTAGTTTAGGATAGCTTACAAGGAATTGCTTGCAATGAAGTATTTACTGGCACAAAACTATGCCAGTGCTACCATTCTCCACTTTGTCTCATCAGTGCTGAAATTTTACTCATATGAAGTTGCCTTATACTAGGTTTGTTCCTTCTATACCCAAGATCTATCTTCTCCAGGGATGGGCAGTCTTTTTGCCCCAATGGCTCCATGTGGCAATCAGCAATGGATTAGAAATACACTTCTATATACACATGCAAATATACTGTCATATATATGCAGAGATTTTCCCCCAGGCCGCATTTTCTCCATTTAAATTGAGTTCCTAACTGCCTGTCAAGATGCGTATTAGGGTTCTGTGTGCTGGAGATGACCTGTCAGGAAAATCATGCATCCTTATACGTACTATCAAGGTGTAAGGAGGAACTGGAGAAGAATGATGGTGGGCTTGATAAGAGGCCTTTAAAGACAACATGTGGCTCATGGGTGGTCAGATGCCCATACATGACCTGGGACAAAAGTTCCATCTGAGACCAGTAGAAGTCACTCTCATCAGGCTTTTCTCACCCTCAAATCCCACCCTCAAATCAAGACCATATATCTTGGTCTTGAAACTCTGAATTCCCAGCCAGTGTGCTGCTGAGAAAATCTAGAAGTCACTGTCACAACACAACTAGATAACACCATGTTGGGGAAAGCTGAACTACTTCCTTATTTCCTGCAAAATGTCCAATAGAGAATTAGAAATCTGCACTGAAAGATTTATCCCTGCCCCAAACTTTTTTTTTCTGATCAGGTGGAAACAATTCCTTTGAATAGTGGGAAATATCAATCAATCAATTAGTCAAAATATAGATAAAATGTAAGTTTTTCATGCAGAGACCCAGCATAGAGTTTTACATGATCTTATGAAGACTCATTTACAATTATGGTGCTATGCAGAACAATACCCAAGAATGAAAATGGCAAGAGCTTACCACTAAACCACATGATGAACATCATTTTAGGAGTGATCTTGTGATCACGGAAGAAATTGAGCAGATAAGAGAGGGGGAAAATATTGACTGCTCTACCAAAAAGGACAAGCACCTGTCAAAAAGAAGCAAATTTAAACTTTTAATATCAGTTGCTGGGAAGTAACGATGGGAAAATGGGGATTGGGATTCGTAACTTCCTTATTAGTCTCCTCTCAGCATCTAGGGCCAATATGGAAACAGAATGCTAGCTTAGGTAGCCCTTTGGTCTGATCCAACAGGACTCTTTTTATGAACTGAGTTCAGTCATATACCCATTTTTTCTTTCTCAGATGTGTTGCATCCCATATGTACATGTTTATCTTTATCCAGTTTGGAAGGGGTGGGGCAAGCCATCAATTTGCTACTTTTTAACTACTTCTGACTATGAGAGAAGGCTTAGGGGGATGTTAAGCTAAGGCTCCAGTCCACTCCAAATTCACCTGATAACAAATAAAAAGAGAAGGTCTTAACCCTCAAATAAACATGCATGAGAGCATACTATGTATAAGAGGGAAGAAAAGGAGCAAACTGTTAGCACTTAGGTTGTATATAGCTCAAATAGGCTGAAGAATAGCTTCTATCTTAGAGCTGTAACTATACTGAATTCTATCGTATAGTGCAGTATTAATGCA